TGTCTCCTACCTTCAGGAATCTTTTTTGCATGGCTAAAGAAATGGCTGTTCACTACAGACAAGAGGTGCATTAGTGTTTCATTATAACAAATGCCATCTGGCTGTGCTGTGGAAAGGATATAGAGCGAACATTGATTTTTTTTCCAAAGGCATGGCTGACTTTATGACCATGACTAACATTTGTCCTGCTGTCATATGTATGCCAAGCTAAGTGAACTATATCTCATGCTAGCAGTATTGTCCAAGAAGTGCTGTGAATACCCATTAAGACTAACAGTAAAATCAGCTATGGTGAGGACTGAGATCTTGCTAATTCCTCTGCTGACAATATTCATGCTATTGATACATACAGAGGAAAAACCTCAGTATATTTTTCAAAGTGCTTTTGGTCCTAGTAATAACAGGAAGACATGACGTGTGTTTCAAAAATGACTGGATGGCAGCCTACCTCCTTGGGGACCATAGCTCAGCATCACAGGCTTTGTAATAAAATCTCACAAATGGGAATTAATTTATTTTTTCCTGTATTGAGAGTGTAATCTTTTCCTTTCTGTACTTGCTGCAGCATCAAATTCTAAATTTCTTAGGATAAGGTATTTAATTAGCAAGTGGCTTCAAATAAATAAATGGCACTAACCTTTGTTATTCTACTTTAATTAGTATTTTGCGATACTCGGAAACTGAATACCTGTATTTATTCATGGGCAGAATTATTTTAATGTTAAAGAACAGTGGCAAACACTATGTATATGACCATCTGTAATAACCACAGATGTCTAACCCGGATGACCCTGATGGAGATTTATGGTGCTGTCTCTTACTGCTAACTTTGGAGGAAACAGTGTTCTTTGGTTCTTGAATTGATTTCTCTCCACAAATGTGCTGTGCTGTGCCATGATGGCAAATGGCCAAATGAAAACCACTGTAAAATTAAACTTTATGTTAAGATAGAACATACAAGAACAAAATCATTCATCCAGATCATACAAATTTATTCCATTCCCCCAGGCGTGCTGTAACAGTATGTAACTGCTAGCCTTTCAGTCAGCCCAACCTGTCCCAACCTTAAGCCTGCACTTTCTCGAAATTTAAAGGCAAACCCATAAATGAAACTTCTGGATAGAAAAAAAAGAAGTCTTTGCAAGGGGCCCATTTGCAAAAAAGGGGGTGCAGATACAAAACATCAGGAAGTACACAATGTAAGTTCAAACAACAGTTGTCTGCATCAGATGAATGTCGATGTCAGTTCACTGCTGTAAAGCAGACTTTATGCATGGTCTGAGTTGAAGTAGAAACAAGAAACTAAGACAGCCACAAAGAAGGCAACATTGCTTTACATTTATTTACTACTACTACTACTGCTTACAAAAGTTGTGAATGTACAGCAATACTAAAGATTAGCTGCTGCTAGAGCATCTTCTGAGATGAACCATATGACATAGCATGGGATTTTTAATGGAAAACAGAAATTGAGGGAAAAACTCAGCTTTCTTCTCACATCCTTGTCTCCTCTAGTGGTCTGTTCATGAAATCTTGGATTGCCTGGTGTAGAGGTAACCACTTATTAATTGAAGCTTTCAAAGCTGTAATCCACCTGGAAGAAAGGAAAGACCAACAGCTGTTGGTGTTATGCATGCACGTTCTTTGAAACGCACCTTTTATAAATGGTGTTTGTACAGCTGTGTTACTACCTGTGTTGACAGTGGATTGGAAAGAGACCGGAGATGGAGGAGTTGACTATAACAACGTATCTTAACACCAATTTCCAACATAGCAAATAGCCTTGTCCTTTGTTCATTAAATTAAAACCTATATTATGTAATTAGTAGGCATTAGACAAGAAGAACTCCCACTGGCAGCCATGGAATTTGGCTGGATTACGATGAAGGCATTCACCTTCATAACCTTCACTGATTCCATAGGCCAATTTTCTTTTTCAATTCTAATGGTCGTTGTTGGAAATGAACAATTCTTGGGAATGAGGAGGATATACTTTCCATTATCTCTAATGAGAGGTACCACAGCTTTTCTGTTTAGTGTAATCACCCCCACGTCATTGTGAAGGGCACCTTGTCCTGGTTTCTTTCTGAACCTTCTTTCTTTCTGAAGCCAGCCTTGCTGTAGTTCCAGCATTGACAAAAAATAGCAGGACTGATGACGTGTGCCAGCACCTTGTACAGCAGTTTGACTAAAGCTACAATTAAAGGGTAATCTAGGGGAAAAAGTGAAAATAGAATGAAAAGTTATCACTACATCTTCCCAAGATACAGTGTTCGGGCTCTCCTGAAGTCTGGCAAATAAAACTGAAAAGAAAAAAAAGTTTTGTTTACCTTTTGTTTTCATCTACATTCTCTGCACATAAGTAGAAAGTTTTAAATTCTTCAGATGGAGGTTTGAGTTCAATTACAGATCTCTTGGAGCCCAGAGATTGTTCACTCACAATATACCCCTGTAGGTAAAGGCCACCTGGACAGAATAAAATAGCATGCATTGTGTATATTGCAGATAACATTTATGAAATTACTGCCAATTACAAGCATATCAACAACTCTTGAAAGCTGGCTTTGCAGATGCATTACGTTGTGTGTTTCAACAGACTTTACAGACGTCACATGTAAAATATTTAAAAATGTGAAAGTTGAGTGGTTTTTTTTCTGAAAATTGGTTTGAAAATAGTGTAAAACATGCTTTCTGTCCAGCAAATTATCAGCAGTATAGTTTTATTTAACTTTTTATTAAGTAATAAGTGGCAAAATATTTTTTCTAGCTTTTGATGTTCTTTTCTTTCTTTAAAAATGATAGCCGCACAAATTTCAACATTAAAAAAAATCCTAGAGTCAACAGTGGTTCCCCTTGCTGCCATTCGTACTGGAACATCATTGCAGACCACACTAGCCAGCTGTGAAGGAAGGGCAGTGGGCAGAATTTGGTCTTCAAGACATTTTCATCTTAGCTGTTTTTGTTGTTTTGTTTGGGGTTTTTTTGCCTTCACTGCAACAATGTATGTTCACTTTATACATACATGGTGAGTAGCCAAAAAGACCTGCAGAGCTGATAAACTGCGCCTGAATGTTCCTGTTACTATTCTCAGAGTCTGTTTTTTTTTTTCTGGCTCTCACATTTAGTGACAAGTGCATCAAATTAATGTTATAGCATTGAGAATGATATGGGGGAGTGACAATCTGTAGTCAAATTAGAAAAAACAATAGTCACAATAACAAGAGAGAGACTACCATATACAAGAATTTGTATGTAGCAGGATATTTAAAGACCAAAGTGACATATTTAGCAGTAAAAGCATAGGCTTGGGTGTCATAAACACATAATACTTAATTTTCACCTTTCCACTAGCTCATTCCTTAGCTCTGGGCAAGCCTTAGATTCAGTGTCACGTAGAGAGGAAATCCCTAGGCATTTCCTATGTATGGACTTCGGCAGACAAAAAGTGCTATGTAAACGGTATATAAAATGGACTATAAAGTGGAATGCCTCTTGCCTTTTGATAAGTAAGCAAAAATACAATAGCACCTTCTTTCCGATCCTTCTGACTGCCTGCTTCCTTATCACAGGGAGAGCGCATTTGCAGGTCCTGATCCATGCCCTCTCTCTGGGGCATCTCTTTTTTATTTTAAATACTAACTTTCATAGAATTGTGCTTGCAGGCTCTCCTCAGTGTCTAAAGTCAGCTCCTCTACTTGCAATTGACACTGGTAGCCTCACATTGCTGCTTTCAGAAGGTGGCTAGACCTTCGTCTGGTATGGGGAGAGCTGCTAGATGACAGCTTTAGCTGCAAATGACCATGGCCACAGCCTGGAGCACCAGCCTCAGGTGGAGCAGGGAAGTTCTGCCTGTTGATGGGTAGACTAACTTTGCCAAGGCCATGTGAAAACCTGGCAGTGTCAGAGAAACCAATCTGAGTTTGTAGTGTCCATCCCTCTGAGGATGCTACCTAATGTGCAGGAGTCAATAGCTCTCAGGAGACTGCCGTCAGCGTGACAGGCTCAAGCCACTGTAAAGTGCTTTGGAAGGGTGGATCTTGTTGCTGATACTTGCTTCTGAGGTAATGTGCACAGATCTTGACTAGCTCCATTCCAAAAAAAAATTAATTCAGACCATGGGAGGAAAAGGAGAGAAGACAGCAAGGAATGAGGTAGCCATGTTATGAAAAGAGACTGAATCTGGTCTTCCTTCACTCACCGTCACAGAATGGAGTGAGTTGGCTGCTAAGAAACTCTAAGGATTGGCAAAAGTTATATTTGAAAACTACAGTGAAACCTTTGTGCTTTGATCCATTGAACGTTTCAATGGATCCGTTGAAATCCAGCAGCTATCCCTACCTTGGGCAGGTGTGGACCGGAGAGTGGCATAGAAGTACAAACAGCCATCCTTCAGAATGCAGTAGTGCTGAATCCAGACATCTTTGCTTCTGTCCAGCTGGTGGAGGAGCCCTAGGCACTCTGGGTTTTTGATAGCCAAGGGTGGAAGTGTAGTGTTATGCAGAGTGACATCTACCCACACGTGGTTCTGTAAAGTAAGCATGTAATGAATAGTTCTAGTCAGAAATTAAGGTGGACCTGTTAGTATGAAAACAGACAAGCTCTAGTCCCCTGCTGCGAAATAAGCTGCTATTGTGAAAATAATCTGAAAACTCAGTGCAGAAAATGCAGTTAGAAAAAACTACATTTGATAGCAAATAGTGACCAACTTTTACTTTCTTACAATAATCACTTGTCATTTCTGCATGAAGAAGCTCTTTAAAAACAATTGTCTTGCTGACTGTCTGACTTCAGCAGTCTTCATTATGTGTAATCTGGCAAGACAAGGTTCATCATCTACCCTCTGGATTTAGAGAAAATGTAGTGATGTCTGAGGCCAGAATACAGCCCTCAGGCTTGGATGGAAGTGCTACCACACACAAAATGATTACAGATGCCTTCCCATCCCTTTCTGTAAAGCAGAGTCTTTTTCATTACTGAAATTATCCTATTGTAATTTACAGGTGAAGAAAAAGTTCAACCGATGGAACACTGCCATTGTATAGGCTCTTTGCAAGGTAAGAGAATCCAAAAAGAAAATCAGGAAAAAATAAATTGTTGTTTAATAAGACCAAGTTGTCTATTGTGAGGTTAAAGCATTTCTTCTTTTCCTTTAAATCTGAGAGGTGTTAGGAACTTAGCCTCTCCTAGAATGTCTTGCTTATCTGCAATACATATTTCAGATTTTACATCAACCAGCGTCACTGTCATTTGAAATCCTTGGGGAGGATGTTGTGCAATATCAATATCACCCTGTTTGTTTCCACTGGGGTTTTCTTTTGCATTCATTTATGACATTTCTTTAGTATCCTTGACAAGGCAACGGACAGAAAATAGACCTGGCACTATCTGTATTCTTTGTTATGGATGCTAAACCTGCTGAGATTTACTGCAGCAAAGTGCAGAAGAGGACTTCAGTAATACTAGGTGTATTCATAAAATAGTTATCCTTGTAGATTCATTAAGACAACTTAGTATCAGTACATTGGTCTATCATTGAATTGTGAGCCCTACTGTAACACACTAGCTATTGCAAAAGGTCAGTAACAAACAATATAGCAAACAAAAAGAAGGAAAAAAATATAAGCTTTTTCTATTTAACTGAATGGAAACTCCAGCTAGAAGGAAGGAACAGATATAGTGCTCATTAAGATCTGAAGTTAGGCAATGAAAGTGACATATTGAATCAAACATTTATTTCAGAAAAGGATATTTTTTGCTCAAAGACAAAACTAAAAAAGATAAAGCAGTCAAAAAATAAGATGCAATATCACAGAAAGGAGCTGACTTACTGTGTTACTAACGTGTGAACGCATGAGAGATCTTTCTGTATATATAATGTTAGAAATGTTTACTCGACAAGTTATTTTTGCATCGTGCATTAAAGAATGACTCTTTTGATGTGCTTTCTTTTGTGTATGTGTGTCTTTGTCCTCTGTGGCTCAGGCTATTTTTTGTTTCTTTTTTTCCTGGTTTTTTTCCTGTTTTCAGGTATGTGGATTCCTTTGGATTCTTTTAAGAAACAGTCCCAGGTAGAATATATTTGGAAACAAATCTGGTTTTGCACTTAAAATCTCATCTGAAAGCTGAAGCCAAAATAAATATACATTTGATCAGGTTTATTTCAGTGGAAAAGGAATTAAAGTAACAACAAAAACCTCCTTTCACTCTTTAGAAACTCATCACAAAAGCACACCGCTGAAGTGGTCACTCAGGTGCCCTGAGTTGAGAGGAGGAGGAAAGTAAATTTCTCTCCCCCCGCTTTTTTTCCTTACCGCATTAGTGCAGGTTGTAATTTGTACCTTGCAATTTTTATTTTTTTTTGTTGATGAGTTTATTTCATCTGCAAAAAAGGTGGACTTTGATGCTCACTCTGCATTTAAGCCTCACATTCTTTATGCTAAAAACCAAGCTGGTTCAGTAGCTTAACCTCTTTAAAAATAGATTTTACAGATCAAGAGCATATTTCTAAAAGGTGGTTTGCCTGTAGGAGGAAAGAGTAAGAATCATGGGGCCAGGAAAGGGGAGGCTGCAGTGGCTTTGACCCCTATGCTTCCAACCCTGGAAGTACTAAAATTAGCTTTGCAGGTCCCAGCTCAGGGCTCTGCCAGGGACTATTCATAAAAAATTACGTTGGGCTGAGCAATCTCTCTCTGTAGCAGCTCAAGATCAATTATGGCTACCTTTCTCCCGACCATAAGGGCCAGCAGAGAGTATAGCCCCCCAGCTTTCTAATATTCTGTCAGAAAAAGCAGGTAGCTTGCAACCAAGACAGACTTATAGGGAAGACTTAAGAAAGACTTAAGAAGGCACAGCCCTTCCCTCCATTTACTCCAAATAGTAATACTTAGGGCAGAACACGTGGTTGTGAGAGTCATCTCTCCCCGTCTTCCCTTTTCACTACCCTCATTTTAGGTTATGTTTCTGAAGCAGCTACAAGCTGCTGATATCTGGTGAGGCAGTATTTTGGTTGATTCCACCATACGGCAGTAAAGCGTGTTTGCTGAGTCACAGTAATGCCTGTACATGGCTTTTGGGATGGAGCTGATTCACATCCCAGCAGCACAGAACAAAAGTACACTGCTGCCTGCACCTGACCATCTACAAACACATCTACTGTCCCTCAGTCTTCTGCACAACCTGCTATATACATGCTTCTCGCGTAAATAAAGCATTACCTGATGGACAGGATGCACTGCTTTATCCATAGCCTCCAGCCACCTGTAACATGACAAAAAATGAGAATAGCTTAGTTTGGTAGAGAAGACTACATGTGCTTCACTGCCCCTTTTAACTCGTGATGACACAGACAGCATCTAAAGGGCTGTGCAAATTTCAGGACACATTCAAGGCTTCAAGATAGAAAAGTAGTGGATTAAATCTATGTAAACATTGCTAACTCTCAGAAAAGCAAGTCTCACAGCTCGCTGTGCAATTGTAATAAATTAAGGCAATATTGCAGACAAGGGAATCTATGTATTTTGAAAATAGTTCAACATGTCAGGCTACATGATTGCTCTTCTTGTACTTTGTTAAAAAAATCTGTGGGAATTGTACAGAATCCTAAATTGGAGATGACAGAATAAAGCAACCTATTTGTTGGCAAAGTTATTCTTTTTGTGCTATGGATGGTATAGAATTTGGAACTGGAAAATGCTCTGATATTACAATGGCGGGTGCTATGATAAGTAGCAAGATGTTACAAAATGATGCGTGGATGAATAACAAATTTTATCCTACTTCATAGTTTTCTATTTTTGATAATTCACAATAAAACAAAGAGGAAAATATAATTAGTTTTTAATGCATTTTGAAATTAAAGCCTAAAGAGTTCTTGTGTTTTGGGTGATTTTACTGTCTTTGTTTTGTAAGCTATAGTCTTTGGAAAATGCAAACAATATTTTTTAAGTCTGAGTCAAATCCAAACTCATTGCCTCCTATCAGAAGCAATATGCTTTTGTGGCAAACTTGCATTTTAATATGCTAAAATGATAATATGACAGAATGACAGAAAAGGAAATGGAAGATGGGATTGTATTGCACTGTCCTTTTTGGGCAGAAGAGAGATCATTCATGGTAAATGACCAATAAGCAAGTTTACATCCACAGGAAGATTTATGCTTCTGTTTGATATAACAATGGGAGAGAGGGCATGAGAAAATGGGTGAAGATTTTTTCTCTCAAGATGAATCAAGAATTCAGGGGGATCTTGAGCAAAGCAAGAATATTAAAGGCTTTATGAAAAAAATTTCTCATAAAAAAAATGAAGCTGAAAAATAATTTTTGAAACTTCTGCAAATGAAAATTAGAAACGCCATCCTTCTATAAGAAGCTGGCAGATATTTTTTTGTTTCTAGTGATCAAGGCAGCTATTGTGAACATCCTCCAAAAACTCAAACTCCCTCTCCCCAAACTGGGATAACAAAACTGAGCCCGTAAAATGAAAGATCACTTACCTCTTCATTTCTTGGTTGGAAGTTGCACAGAAGTAGAAAATTCTGTGTCCACTTTGAGGTATACATTTAAAAACAAATGGTTTACCCAGACTGGTGTCAACACCAATTTCTGCTCCTTCCAGCTTTGTTACTTCCAGGGGTCTGCACTTCCCTTCATCCTGCAATTAGAGAGAAAGAGTGCCAAATTCAGAAATAATATGACACCAATCCCTGTGAGATGGGAATAAACTCAGGGGATATTCAAAGATGTAGAACTTGGTCATAAGTTCCATGCTTTTGAACCATCATATGGTTTAATGAGCTGCCGCCCCAGAAAATACAGTGCAGCCCCAAAGGTAAACTTGTCAAACTTCCTCTAAATTGGCATCTCCATTTTTGCTCTCTTAATTGTTTTCAGTTCATCAAAAGTCGTATCTGCATGAGGAAGCCTCACTAGGTAGTTCTAAATATTCCAACTTTTGAGGGTGCAGCTGAGTGAGAGTGGAATTTTCAAACTGCACCAAAGAACTAAGGAGCATGAGTCTCTTCAGTAAGCAATGCTGCTTGCAGTCTGGCTTTATGCAGAAAACCTCACCTTATAGGTGCAGATAGAGGGAACAAAGGCTTACATGCAGAAAACAGTGAGCATAATTTAAAAGGCTGGATTTCAATTCCTCTGCAAAGTTGCCCTGAATATTATTATGTTCATAACCCTTCCCATTCATTTCAGACAACTTTCAACAGAAAGCATTTCAAAGCCTTTTGTACCATATTGTTCCCGATCGAGTTAAAGCTCTTTGAGACTGAAGGGCATTGTCAATGTCTTTCTCTGTGGTTAGATACAAGAAGCAATTAAGCTCCTTAATGTAAGTAGGTAGGTGAAGCAGTTCCTCCCCCCATTTTCCCAGCCCAGCTCCCCTCAAGTACACATCTTAGCTCAAAACAAAGGTGCACACATCTGGACAGTGAACTCCAGCTATGTTTTAAACAATATTCTTAGCAATACTAGACAATATTAGAGCTGTGACTGGAGCTCTAAAAATTGCATCAGATTTGGCAGTAATAAAGTGGAAAACATGAGTTAATGCTGGAACATATGAAGAGTGATAGTGCCATTTGCAAAATACACAGATGGTGGAGTCTCATAGAACAAAATCAGTTGATTATTGGAAGTTAATTAAACATTGTCAGTAGAAACTGAATTGTAAATGCCCCATGTGATTGTTTTATTAACCTAAAAATAAACATACATATCCTTCCATAAACAAAATATCCACCTGTGGGTATTACATAGTTAAATACTTGCTTGTACTCTCATTGGCATATGTAATTATTCCTTTGTTATAGATGAATTTTCTGTAGGACAAAATAACCCCTAATACTGAAAAACAGTGTAAATAAACATTCACGCATACATTTCCTAGATTCTTCTGCTTTCTTCTTTTCCCTTTTTTATAAAAAAAAATGCAAAACTAAAGTCAGTACAGAAGATGAAGGCAATCCTGAAAGTCATCAGTGCTGTGTGACCTACTTTACTCATAATGCCTTCGGACAGAAAACTAGATTGCAAAGACAGCATAAAC